CGATAAACCTCTGTCACAGGCAGCAGTTACACAAGCATCGGGACTGCTGGTTCCTCCCTTGGCAGCGACTTCCACCTCTAATTTCATCTCTTGATACTGCCCCAACAGCTCTTTTAAGTAAAAAAAAAAGCCCTGGCAGACAGCTACAGTTTCAGTCCATTTACAAACCTGTAACTTCTTTACTCAAAGACAGTGACACTAAAAATATCAGCAAGAGGGTCTTCACAGCTCCGAGGGGGCCTCACTTCGCCATGTCAATCAGGCTCTGGAGGGAGGTGGGCACCCAGGTCTTTTCCCCCTGTACGAACACCACGCCCCTGTCAATGTAAATGACGATCCGCCCAAACGTGTACAACTGCTTCCCCTCGTGCCGCTTGCCGATCACGGGCATGAAAACGATGTTGTGCTCCTCTGCCTTCGTCTGGATCAGGTCCTTGAAGTTCATGGGCACGGAGCTGGCGGCCATGCCGATGCCGCGCTGGGCCATGTTCTCCGCCTCCCGCCGCTCCTGCATGGCCTCGTACTGGAAGTCTTTCCTCCGCTCGGTGTGAGTAAGGTAGGCGATGTTCTCCCGAGCGCCTGGCTGCATGTACCCACCTGTTGGGAGAGACAGAACGGGTGAAAACAAGGTCCCAGTCTGCTCCTAGTGCAAGGTCTACGGGTAAACTCCAGTCCAGGAGACGGCAAAGTCAATCCATAACGCTCTGGATCCTCCCTTACACGTTCTAATTGCTACAGGTTTATGCTGTTACTGCTAACACAACGTGGACTAGCCAGGTGAACTTGAGAACTGCAGCACAAGCAACAGGATTTGAAGCAACAGGATTTGACACAATCCCAAACTGCACCCGAGCGCGCACAGGAGAGGAGGACGCCGCACTGCTGCTGGCAAAGGGAAAAATGTGAACAGGAAAAAAACCCCTCCCTGAAGCCAGAACCTGGCTTGTGGCCTCCACGTGCCACTGCTGGGTTACAAACAGCGGCCACTGCAAAATGAGGCTGGGGATGGCGCAGTGCCCTGACGCAGGACGCAGCGCCGCAGCGGGCGTGCTTCCGCTGTCAGCCCCAGTCCACTCCGCGGCCGTGCGAGCACCAGGCCAGGAGTCTCTCAACAGGTAAATTCCTCTTTGTGCAACGCTTGCCTGTAGTTGTACCATTTTACCACACAAATAAACGTAACACTTAAGGAGACCTCAAGGAGTCCTCCGCGTTTCTGACGCGGATTCGCCATCGCACTGTAGAGCGTGTGGGCAGCAAGAACACAGGAAAGCAGTTCTCAGTTCTGGAGGGCAGGGCAAATTTCAGGCGCTGCTCCCCCAGGCACAGCCTTCTCTTTTATACTGTTTAATTCCCAGCGAATTCCTAACAATCTCTTTTAGGTCACAGGGGACTCCTGTGGAAGGGAAGGGCACTGTTCCAAAGCTAAGGAGAACAACCAGTATCGCGCCATAAAGAAAAAAATCCCAACAAATTATAGCTTCAGAAGTCAACATCTTTAAACGATGGTCTCTTGCTGACTGACAATGAACACACAGTACACGTATTTTATGACATAAAATACACTATAATCGGGCAAGGCTGAAAGAGAATCAGTTGCTTAATGGCACAAAGAGCCACTCACCATAAATCTGCTTCTGCTTCAGTGAAGCACAATGACCAAGCAGCAGCTTACAGGCGCTGTTTACGGACACAGCAAGGCAGACCACACCGTGAATTTCCCTGCTCACGGGAGCTGCCACACAGCAGCAGGGCCATGCCTCCGCACAGACTCACGCCAGCCCAGCACTGCTGTGCTGCCACCACCACAAGCCACCTACCAACACTGGAGGAGACAGCCCGGTTCATGATATCAAGAGCTTCGTTGAACTTGTCTTTGATGGACGGATGTGCTAGCACTTGGTCTGAGAACATGGACTTCCAACCCAAGTACCACTTGGTAATCTCCTCGTAATTGGGGCTGTTACTCAGCCAAGAGCACAGCGCCTGCAAAACAACGTGACAGATCAAAATGCAGCAGGACAGGCACATTTATGCAAGACAGTCCCTCTCACCACTCAAACAGTTTATTACTGAGCTTTCAGTAAAAGAAAGGACCGTGCCGGAATGAGGAGACAGTCCGTTCTAGTGTCTGTGGAGCTACAAGCAGAAACCACCCCACTTGGTGCTCAAACCATTTCAGCACCGGGGCAGCAGTTTCTAGGCAGGAGCCACTGCAACACTTCACAGTGGACCCAGCCTGCTGACTCAGCCTTGACAATTTCTCACCTGCAGCCACTTTGGGAAGAAGTGTTTCTCCAGCAGCCCAACCAGACTGGAGACAGAAATCATCCCCTCCCAGTCAACCACCCAGTAGAAGGCATCCATGTGCTGCTGGTGAGGGTTTACAACGAGTTCGTTCAAACACATCCCTGGGGGAAGAGGGAGAGGAGTTAGGAAAGAACTTGACTCACAGTTTTCTCAGGGCCCTGACCCATTTCGCTGGCAACGCTCTCACTCTGAGGAGCGCCTGGACCGCGGATTACCCTAAGGGACGTGAGGGATCCTGAAACTGTTCAGCTGATCACTGCCACCGAAACAGGGCGCTTCCATCTCCAGAGATCACCACTTGCCGCCAGAACCGAGAAACCTGAAACGTTCAACTGTTTTTCAGACTACAGAGCCTTGTAGCCAGTCTGTACAGCTGAACAGTGAACTACAAAAATCTCACAGTGAGAGCACTACCACAGCCCAGAGAACACAGGAGTAAGAGACGCATTTTATAGCCTGGTGCTATCTGACAGCTATCAGATAATCCTGCCGGGTAAAGAACAGAGGCATCGGATGATTTAGAAAAATAAGACACAAAACATTGAGAATAATCAGAGCACTTCCCCATATTTTCTAAAATGTCTGCCTCTGAAAAAATGCACAGTACTGGCAGCAGAAAAGGAGACGCAGTCTTGGTCTAAACTTACTAATAATATTCTTTGAAGTAACACTGGCAACCGTGCTCACACGTATCTTTTCTAGGTGTTAGGGGGAAGGCGACAACCAGCAGACTTCAGCAGTTCAGCACCGTTTGGCTTGTCTCACCTAGTTTAGGCACGATGTTTTTGACCATGAAAGCCTCCCACGACCCAGGGGTGAACACATCCTTCCAGGGCTGAAGGATAAGTTTGGCGGAGGAGTCACTGGGATGCCACTTCTGCAGTGCGTTCGCCAGCTTGTTTCGGATGGGAGAATACAGCGGCTCCAATCGCGCCTGCATCAGGGGAAGCCAGGGATGGATCCACGAATGGATCGGGACTGTGTCCGTCAAAGGATTCCAGCTTTCGACCTTGGGGTAAAACAGAACAGATGAAAGTAAGTCCATCGATTAGCAGTCATCTTGCCAGATGCAAAGACAGAAACAATGCAAGCTCCTAACTCCTGAACGCTTCCGCAGGGGCAGCAAACCGGTATTACAGCAGCTCTAGCTGACTGAAATTCAAATACTGGTTCAGAGCATGGCTTCATTCTAAGGCAGTCCTCTCGTCTCACCTCCTTCTG